CTCCACCAGAAATGTGAACTGAGCTAGAATATTGTGAAATAGGGTAGAAATAATTCTTTCGGGCGAACCACCAAAGGCCATTGCTGGGCTGCAAAGGTCACAAGTCTGAAATTATCAATTAAAACTGAAAAGAAAAAGAGGCGAGCTAAGAGAGAAACAAAGTAAAAATTGAAATTATCCTTAAGGCCAAATGAATAACTGCAGAACCCAAGACAGTCCAACCCATTAACTTGTAACAGCAAACAGTCTTTAGTTTAACTCCATAACCAGTTGATTCTAGGGTCAACATCTTGACTATGAAAGTTCTTATTTTTCCCATGTCAGATCGTTAAAACATTTCATTTTTCCAAGTAAATGGAACATAGGGCATTTTGACAATTTTTGACAATTTTGACACGGTGTTTTCGCCCCAAGGCTGATCACTGTTCAGTATCAAACAATGAACTCGTTGTACATGTGGGACTGGGTATCATTCAACTGAAAGGCAGGATGATGTGCAATCAGAAAAGTGTGCTGTCTCAACATTCTGTTTGCGTTAAAATATTTGTCTCCTTTTACTGAAATATGTAGAGTATGTTAAGATTAACATTTCCTCAAACAAGATAGTCAGGGAAGAAAAAAAGGAATTCGGGAAACAATTGGAATAATGAATAGAGTGTTCCAGATAAAGAAAGGGGATTAAGAACAGATTATTCAGTCACCGAGTCACATGTTAGAAGCCGCTTCAACACCTTTGCAACGATACAGTTTGATATTACAGTTTATCCAGTTACAAGCACCTCATTTCTGGGGCTAATGTCATACGCGGCCTAGTCGTTTAGGTATTTGGTTGACGCCGAGTGAATAGCACAAGCAGGGTCCTGGGTACGGGTGCATGGTGACATCATGTAGATGCTTTGGCGACGTCACAGGTTAATGTAAAGAGAAAGTCTGGATACTAATCTGGTGACTTCATCAGGATGCCTAAATTGATAAACGATCTTAAAAATAACCAAAGGATCTGATTTTACCCTGTGATGTGAAAACAGCAGAAGCATTCTCCAAAATGCTACCATCAACCGTCAATAGACACTTGAGGGGCAATGATGCGCAGGTAAGAGAAACTTTAATCACTGTTTAATTTTGTTAAAGGATAAAGACACTACAAGAACTTGTACATAACGTGTCATGGCATCGCCCATTGAAGATCAGTTACAAATAGGAAGATACAAAAAAGTAAAACGAAAACTAACGAAAAACACGAATTCAGATAAACTGTAAACATCTGCGAAGTGAAAAACCACTGATCATCTTATTTTCGTGGAATCTGACTGTTGCCCCTGGTCAAAAACCCAATCCTTAATATTAATACTAACGCAATTAAAAGTATAAGCAGGCAAATTACCAACATTTCGTTAATTACGTCAACTAGTTCACTACGCAGCGAATTTCAGTAATATTTGCATGCACTATGAAGTGGAACATTGTGTGTTTGGAAAGAATTTGCAGATGACTGATTAACAAAACGTTTCGTGCCTCTCGAAATCGACGAGAAAAATGATAAACCAGTAACAACTGAGTATCGACGCTTAAAATAACCGACAAGTTTGAGAACCCAGCAAGTTTAAGTCTCCCAGCCGATAAATGTCGTCCGGAAGGAAAGATCCAATCAGATTAAATATTCTATAGTCTAAAGCTATTCAGACTCTCGAGGGTAGCCAAACAGTTGGCAAAGCTCTTAATTCAGGCGTTAAAACGAAAACAGAAGAGTTAGCCTTCCGATGCTGAATATTCGTCTAACTCGGTATCTTGACTCGACTGTTTATTTTGACGAGGCAGTTCTGCTGAATTGAAGAAAAACTTTGTACTGAAACGATCGAAGTAGGAAATTACAATTGCAAGACAATATGAAGCCTGGTCAGGAGTAATAGATTTGCCAGAGTCCTACTGACCAGTGATTTGTTTCGTGCAAAGAATCGTCTTTCCAAATAATGGAGAAACAAATTAATTAAATATTGCAACAGTTAACTGCGTTAAAATGGAATTATGGAAAAAACATGTTCAATTGTATTTGATGACATGTTTAATGATTCAAATATAGAAAAACCTTGAAACAAACAAACCCGTGAGACTGAACAATCCTCGTCACTGACTAAGATATTTGATTGTCTTAGAACGTCAAATTTTCTTTGATAAACTACAAACTTTTTGGACACTTAATCACGAAGTCCTTTATATAAGACAGAGGTGCTATTGTCAGTGACAATGTTGAGCAAACTTTGGAACGACCTGAAGGCGAATTTTTTCGACAACCAAGTCAAAATCGTCTGTGTTGACAAGCGGACGAAAACAATAGTTCTTAATTCATATCCTTTAAAGTAAAAGAAAGCAGTTGCTCTTGAAGCGCCTGGAGACTGACGGCTTTGTTAATTTAGAAACAATGAATTGGGAAGCTCTCTCTCAGTTAAAGAAGAAGAAAATCACCATGTAAGCTCGTGTTAGTAAACTGATGGATAGCATCGAAAAAGATAATGATAATACAATTTCCGGGCTTAGGATGTGTTTCCATTGCGCTTTGCTAATAGCGCAAGTTTATATTTTCAGTGTAATAAATGTCGTATAAAAGAAGGATTTTATTTTGCGATATTTTTCTTCACACATTTGCCTACTAATGTGATTTTTCACATGTACCTGTGTCATTTATTAAGTAGTCTCATTGAATTCGACTTCAGCTTCAAATATTAATTTTATATCAGTTTTAGCGAGCTACTCTTTAAGCAGTAATTACAGATTCAAGTAAATAAATAAATTGGGAATCCAGAGCTATGGGAACTAAAACAGGACAGACTTCTCAGGGCTCGAAATTTAAACGGGGGAACTGGGGTAAACCGCAACCAGATTTGGCTTTTTGGTCCTCAATTATTCGCTTTAGAGCCACTTTGTTAATGAAACAAAAAAAATGTATGTATACTACAATGACTCGCCTTTCCTTGTCGACAATCTAGTTCTGAAAGGTCACTTTGCCAATGAAAGTATAAAAAAAATGTACGTATACTACGATGACTTGATTTTCCTTGTCGACGATCGACGCACTGAAAGTAACATTATAAAGGCGAGTCTATTAAAACAGGTCGGCGTCTACACCTTGGAAATTCAATTGGAGACATTTCTCTTTACATGGCTAGAATTTTGTACTGAAGCATGACATTGTAGCAGAAATGCTGTTTTGCAAACCTGGGGAACATGTAAGTAAAACTTAATTTTAACATGTAATGAGTTTTAACATTAAACATCTAAGTAAAACTTGGCCAATTTCTTACACCAAAGGCTCTCAGCATATGTATGATAATTCAAGTTGGACTGTTAAACAAAAGTACAGGATTTGTCTTATAGTTTCCAATGTGAGCTACTTGTAGAAAAAAGTCTCCAACCTTTCCAACATTTTGCATAGATATACTAAATGATTGTTAATGGCAAGCTTTAGCGTTTCTCCTCTTTTGTTAGAGAATATTCAAACTCTACAAACTCTGCCCTTTCTATTAGGTTTTAGCTTCTAATCGTTAAAGATGGTCGCATGTTAGGAGCAACTTTGTCACTGAGATTAGTCAAATGCGCTCTTCAGTTACTGCAGAGCTCGTGTTTATATCATTACGGTGAATTCTGAAAAAAAAAAAAAAGACTGAAATGACTCAGTTCTACATACACTGAAAAGAAACTTTTCAATTTGCTAGGTACCGTCTTTCTAGAATGGTCTTTTGTTTCAGTGGAAGAATCTCTCTCCGACAAACGCTAACGGAAAACAAAGCTGACGACACTCAACCCAAGCTATTGATTTTAATCTTCACTCCTTTATAAACTGTTTGAAGCCTAAATCCAAATATAATGCTAACATCAGTTGGTTTTAAGCGGTATTAAGTAAGAAACTGCTCACGTGAATTAACTAACACCAGCGATAAACTGTATCAAAGTTTCGACCGCCATTGCCAGGCCGTTCAACTTATCAAAGATGTATATCATAACAATGCCAATGTATGGTAAATGGCCAGGTTACGGCCTAACTGTGCGTAGGGATATGACAAAGTTTTATTGCTTTGTTCCAGATGGAAAAGACGCGTTGAAAACTAATGACATGCAACAGCATATGAAACACTTTCATGTGAGCTCAAAAATTCATTGTTGTAATGGGCACATGCTCGCTTCAGTCAAGAGAACAAGAAAAGACCCTTTTAGATTTGATTTGCACCCGGCTCACGCACCTTAGCATTTTCTTGGACTTGAGGTTAACTAAGTACAAAAATTTCATCGAAATTTTGATGATGGTGTTCATTTGCGAAAAATTCCGCTTCGATTCGTTAATTTAAGGAACAAGCGCTAATTTCGGAGCTACAACTCAAAATAAAAATGTTCTCCTGGTCAATAGCAGGAGTCCTTACAATACAGCGATTCCAAGTTATTCGCGAAAAGATATGCTTTCACAAATAGTTTCGCAAAGTAAATATCCTAGATTGAGTTGAGAACAGTAGTGCGTAGAGATTTTTTGCGTAAGATTATTATTATTATTTTTTTGACAAACAGGTCAAAATACTCTGTATTGACAAGCATCACAACAGAGGTCTGAACTCAAATCCTCCAAAAATTCAAAACTGATAGTTACTTTATGTTAAGTCTTCAAAGGCAATATAAGTCGAATTGCTAACGGTAAAAAGTCATCATACATTGTTATGTATCGCTATCACTGTTTCAAGTTTTCAAAACGCTCTGAAGTCTTGTCTACAAAAACTGTTCGCAATCTTAACTCTGATAAAAACGTGATATTTGTTTGATGCAACGTAACAGGAATTTTAATTCGAATTTTTTCTAACTAGATAAACACAAAACAACTGTCATAAACATTACCAGCGATGTAATGTACTATTGAAACAGCTCGACTCATGGTCAACAGTAAACTGGTCCGAACACGAACCAAAGTCAACACAAAGGCTAAAAACTCAACTGTACTCGTAACTTACTCATCATTCCTTTACAGTGAACCGTTCAGAAAGTGCTTGGAACAGAAGAGCAATTCTTCGAGCTTAGAGGTAAGATGTCTTTCTCGATTTTCCTGCACCTGCGACTACTAGGTTTCTCAATATTTTAACGCCACCTAAATAATTCAAGCCTTTTAGCAAATTACCGTAGGCGAACTCTAAAATCCAGAAAAGTTATTCGATGCTATTCTAAAATTCAAATAGAAATAAGTCGCTCGTAAAATCCCTTCTCTATAGTTTCGATAGCTTTACGCATTCTCCACATGGCCAGGATTTCTCCGCTTCAATACTAATATTGCGAGTTTGCTCTAAAAATTGGAAAAACATCCACATGCGTTGTTTGATCATATCTGCCGCACAAGTACAAAAAGCATCTGCATGGGAGAAGATGCGTAGTGTTTCCTTTGAAAACTAGAACTTTCCTTTCAATATTTGCCTCTACCCATTGTTGCCAATGAGAGGTTACTTGTCTCGAGTATAAGGGATGGAATTCCATTTTCGCATTATCTCCATATGAAGGGCATAAATTGGACTTTACTACAAGACTTGAAAAACAGCTTCCAGCGAGTTTGTGAACGTCACAAGTCTCTCAATTCCTACAGACTAAAGCACGACTTGAGAAAAGTTTTAATTCAAATGTGTAAAAAGAGAGAAAACGTCTCAAAGGCTATAAAAAGGTGTCTTAAGGACGTTCGCGCGAAAATTTTCCAGTCGATAGCTTTTTCTAAACTTTTACTGCGGTCAGATAATGAGTTACTTGTGTCGGAAATGCATAAAAAATTGTTGGCCACCGAATTCGTTTCAGAGATTAAGCATGTGGAAAACTACCCGGATTTTGAAAAATTGGGGCACGTAATTCAGCATGGTCTACAGAGGTTTATAGTTTAAAATATCGAAGGCGAGTCAACGGAGACAAACGATCTTAGTCATATTTTGTAGAAGTGGGTCTGTTGCGTAAATAATTCAGAATGCTACCAACGTTTTCACAAAACTTAACCCTACAAGAGGCATTTGAAACCGTCGCACAGATAAACATAGAGTTAAAAAGAACGTAATTCGATGGTGCATTTTGCAAAAAAAAGTTAAACTTCTAATCGACAGATTTTCTTCACTTTTGCGCTTACCGAAGAAAATCACTAGAGAAAATGATCTATCAATAGAAAAATAGGGGTTACGGAACGTCCCAGATCGTTAAATCCAGGCAAAGCTATAGCAATGGCCATCTGCCCTATCATTGTTCATTTTATTACTTACCGTGCGCTCTCTTGCATGACGTGGCGTGTGAATTTGCATGCGCAGTAAGAATGCGCAGAAACAATTAGCGCGAACGTCCTTAGGGCTTGAAAGTTCCACTGTAAATTTGTAAGAGAAAATAATGTCCCTATTTTAGATTTTGCCTGCCGCCGTCAACCCTTACTGATACTGATCCGGTCTGTAAACTTTTTTTTTTCCGCAGCAAGATCGTGAAGAACTAAGAAATGGCCTTTATTTCGGGCAAAGTCTCCGTGATGTTTTTGTTGTCGCTGTCTGCGATGCTTTTGCTGATGTACTGTGCCACAGCAAACAACAAAACCAATCAACCATCGTACAAAATGGTAAGTTATTGTGTTGCTTGCCAAATGTTAATTTCTGGTAAGAGTAAAACGACATTTCTTTGCAAATATTGATTTGACTTTGGACATTACAGATGCGTCCACGTTGCCCTATTTATAGCTTTGACTAAACCAATTGAACCGCCCAAACATTCCGGGCTCTTCTTGATTACTACAGTATTTCATTTCTTCGCTTTAACAGTTGTAAAATATTGCGACCAAACCAACGGCAAATTAAGGGGCCTGATTGTGATACAAAGAAAAATTAAGAAACATACATTTTAAAAGCTAGAAAAAGCCTAAAATTTAAGTCCTCATGAGTGGAAACATATTTTTGTGACTAGTAAAAAATAACTGAAATATGTATCAATAGATTTCGTATGACTTCTTGCATTGGCATATCCATGATACCGTTAAATTTCCGCAGCCGTTAAAATTTATATGAAGACATGGTTGATCATGAATAACTCATAACGTTTTTCTCATTCCAATCCAGCAGCCTCCTGTTTTCTGTTATGGTGGTATCCCTGGTATGCATGGCAAGCCTGGGTCTCCTGGGGCACCAGGTCGTGATGGACGTGATGGCCGCGAAGGAGTCAAAGGTGACCGAGGCAGCCCTGGGAAGACTGGACCCCGGGGACTTCTAGGAACTCCTGGTATCAATGGAAAGAATGGCGCCAAAGGAGAAACTGGAGTCCAGGGCCCTCCCGGCCAAAAAGGGCAGCGCGGAGAGAGTGGAACAAGTGGAACCCCTGGAACCCCTGGTGTGATGGCTTATAAGAACTGGAAAGAGTGCGCATGGAAAAACTTGAATGAGGGCAAAGATAACGGTCTGATCAAGGTGATTGATTTTTGTAGAATGCAAAAAAAAAACCTTTGTTTTTTCATAACAGATCATAGCACACAGCTTTCTAAAGCTCACTGAGTGAGTATTTCTTTGTGATAGCTAATCTTATTGGAAAAAAAAATAAGGATTTATGTGGGAATTAAGCGAAATAGCAATACACTGGCAATAAGAACACAACCACATTCTTCCTGTGTTTCATTTGCATTTTCGTGGCGCTTTAGGTCGTGCACGTGTTAAGTGATTTCACTTTCTATTACCCTACCCATAAATGATTTTTCGATTATTGTTGTTACTTGATGAGTTATCGATTCCTTTCATATCTATTCTTTTTTTCCATTCTGTACAGGACTGTGTGTTCACCAAGAACTTCTCTGACACATCCCTCCATGTTTACTGGACTGGCGTTCTACGAGTCTACAACTGTGACAATTGCTGCAAACGCTGGTATTTCACTTTTAACGGTGCTGAATGTTCAGGTCCCCTTCCAATTGACGGTATTGTGTACTTGTGGAAAGGCAGTGGTAAACTGAATCCCCATCGTGTCCGCCATATTGAGGGGCACTGTAACAACATCCACAAAGGCAAGGTGCGCGTGGGATTCTGGGTCACTAATTGTGCCGGATACAGTGGAAGTTATGACGCCGACACTGGGTACAACTCAGTGTCCCGGATCTTTGTTGAAGAAGTTCCTAAACCCCAGGCTTAGATCTCGAGACAAACCATCCATTCCTGCATAAACGTTTATAATTGAACAGTGATAAATTGTTTAATTGTATTACGCGGGGTTCCTCTGATTACTGGGCGTGGTGTGTATTTGTTTCTTCGTTTGCTGATGTTAAATAAATGGCAGGAAGATTGATCGGGAGATCATTGATTGTTTATTTCTTAATTCTTTTCTTCCGGACAGTTTCATCGCGGTGTGAATATAAATTAGTGGAACTAGTATAGTAGACATTTGCACTTGATCTCACTTAAATAGTTTCGATTCTAACGCGCTAAACTATTTAAGTGAGATCACATGCAAATGTCTATTATACTAGTTCTACTGATTTATATTCACACCGCGATAAAACTGTCATTTTTACAATGATTGTGATGTTAGCAACATCGAAACGTCGGGCAACTAATGTGTTATTAAAATAGTACGAAATAAGGAAACTTGTAACATAAAGGAGCATTTATTTTAACCCCAAATTAGCCAACTGTCTTCAGTAATATTACCTTAACTGTTATACTTTGTTCAGTATTTTGATTTGATTTACTTTGTTCAGCATTTTGATTTGCTAAATTTGCTAACAGTGCTAAATTTTTGAAGCTTTACCCCAAATTACTCTCTTGTTATTTTATACAGCGCGGACATCAAGTCGGCTGCCTGAATTAAGGACATTTCCTTATTTTTCATATGCATCCCCATGAGCTTTGTAAACCCAGGATCTGTCTAAAAATATAATCGCCCGGGATTTTGAAGAGGAGGCAAAGTAAAGAAAATGTAGTATACAGACTAAACTTGACACGCCCGAAACGCACAGAGCGGAGCGGTTAAATCAACCGAATAATAATGTGTCATTGTGCTGCTTTGTATAACTCGAGGAGTACCCGACAAGGTGACCCTCATCCCCTCAATCCCCTCCCTCCCAACTCCTGAAAGCTTGCTTGTCAACCAACTTATTTTAGTTTGAAAACAATAGCTAACAAAGTCCATTGTACAGAATTGTTGCCTTACCTTTTGATTAATATTCTGCTTGCTTTTGCTTACNCTGATTACTGGGCGTGGTGTGTATTTGTTTCTTCGTTTGCTGATGTTAAATAAATGGCAGGAAGATTGATAAAGAGATCATTGATTGTCTATTTCTTTATTCTTTTCTTCCGGAAAAAAATAACGCACCTACGAAAGTTACTAAATTTGCCAACTTTTGTACAAAAATTTGTACAAAAATTTAAAAGTGTTTTGAAGATGAAAAATAAAACCAGCTGGCAAGTTAACATGGACATGGCGGCGTCAACGAAGGCTGCGAAGGTTTTACAAAATTTGTGAAAATTTGGTGAGCGCGAAAGAGAGCCATGCAAACCTGATAATTTCACAATTCACAAACAAACATGACCAAACTCATGAAGACTTTTGAAAGGAGCCATTAAGCTAAGGAGAAACACAAGCCCAACATTAAATGAGAACTGAGGTAGGATATTGTCAAATGGGATAAAACGGAAACTTTTATGAGAACTGCAAAGGAAATTTCACAAGAAGGAAATCAATATTTTTAACGCCAAAATTAGCAGGACACCGTATGATGAGCGGTTTACTGGAAAACGTCAATAGAAATAATAAAACTATAGCTGTCCGACGTTTCGATGTTGCTAACATGTACATCATTATAAAGGTAAAAGTGACAGTTTTATGGTGTGAATATGAATTAGTGGAACTAGTATAACAGAAATTTGCACTTTAACGCGCTAAACTATTTAAGTGAGATCACAACTATAGTTTTATTAAAATAGTAAGAAATAAAGAAACTTGAAACATAAAAGAGCATTTATTTTAACCCCAAATTAGCCAATTGTCTTTAGTAATATCACCTTAACAGCTAACGTTATACTTTGTTCAGTATTTTGATTTGATTTGATTTTGTTCAGTATTTTGATTTGCTAAATTTGCTAACAGTGGTAAATTTTTGAAGCCTTACGCCAAATTACTCTCTTGTTAACACCCCTCTGTAAGAGACCTACTGGAACCTGGTTCTTCACCAGGTTTTCAACGAAAACTCTACCAGGGCAGACAAAAATCCACCAGGGAGGCCGATGACTTTTTAAAATCTAATCATATATGTATACACATGCAAAACTGTGTGACCCAGTATTTGAAAGCCCATATATATACACACTGCTCCATTCCTCGCTAACTATCCTTTAGGCTTTTCAACACTGAATTGTTTGGATTTTGTGATCCACAAGGAGACCTTGATGACAACGTGGCTGCAAGAAAGCTTTTGCCTGGCTCTTTCGACTGAATGGTAGCACTAACTTTACTTGACACAGTTTCCAACTCCAACGAAACAGTATAATCTGTGCGTCCCTTTAAGGGCCTGTTAACCGATCTTCTCGAGCCGTTGCTAGGGAAAATATAATTTATTCTCTTATAACCTCGTCTTTTTTAGCTCACTCACTCACTGCCCATTGTGCCCACTAGCACGTAGGGCAGCAGCGTCGTTGCATAATAACAGTACCCATGTCCTCCTGTTTGCACCACGAAAGCGGATCCTTGTTGGAAATGGTCTGAGGCCAGAAGATGCGAAGTATTTTTCGCAGACTGTTGGAGTGAAAGGTTGACAGCTTTCCCAGATCACTTTCTAACATT